GGCGCTTGGATGGCAACCCAGCTACCTGATCTGGCGATGCTGGGCAATCCCTTCCCCGAAGTGGCGGCGACTGCCGACCTCGCCGAGGGTCGGGTCGCGTTGCACTACCTGGTTCCCGTGCTGGTGTTGTTGATATTACTGGTCATCAGCCTCGGCGTGGGCGTTACCTGGGGTGGCGGCGTCTGGCTCACTTGCGCCGGCATTTTCTACCTGGTTTGGACAACCCTGTACACCACATTTTTTTCCAACGCAACCGGGTTATTCACCGGATCGTGGCAAAGCCTGGGATATTGGCTGGTGCAGCAGGAAGAAGCCCGCGGCAACCAGCCCTGGTATTACTACGCGATCGGACTGAGCGTTTACGAAATGCTGGCTCTGGTGTTCGGGCTGGCAGCGGTTGTGTGGCTCATCCGGCGCCGGGAGCCTTTCGGGTTGGTGCTGGCCGCCTGGACGGTTGCGACTCTCGCCGCCTACACCACCGCCGGCGAAAAGATGCCCTGGTTGCTGGGTGAACATCACCTTGCCGTTGGCGCTGTCGGCCGGCGCGTTGGTGGGGCATCTCGCCCAGGGGATACCGTGGGCAAATCTGGGTCGTCGCAATATTTGGTTGCTGATTCTGTCGCCGGCCTGGATCGTGCTCGCCGTGTGGGTCGGCTGGTTGGCCACCGGCGATGTGGGTATCAACATAGCGGCCTGGTTGGCGGCTGCGATCCTGCTGCCCCTGGCGGTACTGATTGCACTTATGATGCGGGGTCGACCTCATAGCGTCCGCGTCGCTGCCGTGGGCATCGCCGGGTTGCTGCTGTTGTGCGGCGGTGTCGCCGGTTTTCGGGCCGCCTACACCTACGATGATTCCAACCTGGAGGTCCTGGTGTACGCCCAGGGCTCGGCCGACTTGCCGACCACGTACCGCGAGTTGCAACAGCAGGCTTTGGCTGACGGAAACTCCTCCGGCAGCGTGAAGGTCGACTATGACATGTGGTACCCGTTCCAATGGTACGTCCGCAACGAGACGCAAGCCGCCATCCTTCAGTTCGACCGGTTCTGCACCGAAGACAGCGAGGACGAAACCGAGGATTGCCGCACGGTGGGCGAAGATACCGGTCCGTTGGTGTACCTGGCCGAGGCGGGGCACGAGGTAACCGAAGAAACCCCGGCGGTGTATCGCAAAGACGGCCCGATGCGCAATCTGCTATGGTATCCTGAAACCTACCGCCGACCCGGTGAAAATCGTCAGGACACTAACTTCTGGGCGCAATTGTCCGCCGACGTCGGGTTCTTCCGGAATTCTGCCGTCGATCCTTCCAAATGGCGCGAAGCCATCACTTTCGTGGTCGCGCGACGACAGGACAGCGACTGGTACAAAGCCGAATACTTCCAGTACACCCGAAATGAATAAACCACGTCGCCCCTGCCTCACCGCTTTCAGATCGGGACTGCGCGCTACAGCGCTTACTGCGTGCAATTACCAGCTGGTCGTCGCACCGTTATCCGCTACCCCGGCCAATTCCGCCCGTGATTAGGGCACGCGCGGCGCTCACCCACCGCCCCGACCGGGCTTGTCGACCGGGTAGTTGTATGATTCCAGGCCGTAAAACATGACCTTTGTGCTGGGTAACTGGCGATTTTGGGCGGGAGTTCTGGTCAGCGTCGTTACGCTGGCGCTGCTGGTCCTGCTGGTCGACAGGCAGGAACTGTTGCACGCCTTGCGTTCCGCTGATTATCGGTTTCTGGCGCCCGCCATCGCGCTGTATTTCCTGTCGGTTTACTTCCGTTCCGCCCGCTGGAAGTTCCTGCTGTCTCCGGTCGCCAACATTCCGGTCAGGCGATTGTTCCCGGTGGTAGTCATCGGTTACATGGCAAATAACATCCTCCCCGCGCGACTCGGCGAACTGGTGCGAGCCGTATACCTGGCTCAGCGGGAAGAGAAAGTCGGCGTTCCATCGTCCATTGCCACCATCAGCGTGGAGCGCCTCTACGACGGACTGACCCTGCTCGCTATGGGAGCCATATCGGCACCCATCCTGCTGACAGCGGGTCTTTTCGACGGCGCCAGCATTGCCTACCAAACCACGGCTTTTGTGCTGGCGGCGGGGGTGGTGTTCACCTTCGCCTTCGCCCTGGTCGTGCTCACGACGCTGTCGGTAAGCAAACGGGCGGTTGGTTGGGCTGTCCTGCTAACCGGCCTGCTCCCGCTGCGGTTCCGTGCAACGGCAACAGACATTATCCTTCGGTTCGTCGAAGGACTGGCCACGCTCAATTCCCCGCGCAAGCACGTAACGTTGTTTCTGGCCTCGTTGCCCGTGTGGCTGGCCGAAGCCGGCGTCTACATCGTGGTGGCCTATTCGTTCAACCTGCACGAGTATTTCGACACATGGTTGCTCTTCGGTTTAGCGATAGTGCTGGTCACCGTTACTTCCAACCTGGTAACGGCAATTCCAACGTCCATAGGAGGCATCGGCCCCTTCGAGGTGGTGGCTCAGCAAACGCTCACCGGCCTGGCCGTCGCGCACGCCACGGCAGCATCCTACTCGGTGGCAGTGCATCTGGTGGCATTGTGGCTGCCGGTAAACCTGGTGGGCCTGGCTTTGTTGTGGATTAACCACGTGTCCCTGCGCGGACTCACTACGATGCCGGCCAATTCGCCTGAACCCCCGGCGGCAATGACCCCGCGGCGCCATCCGGCGCTGGCGCGGAAGTGGACGATTAGCGTATGCGGATAGGAATCATCGGCGGCGGTGCAGCCGGACTGGCGGCGGCATACGAGTTGACCACGAGGGGACACTTCGCCGAAGTGTTTGAGGCTGCTCCATTTTTGGGTGGACAGGCTTCTACGTTCCCCGTGGGCGGCGGCAACCTGGAGCGCGGATACCACCATCTGTTCGTCAGCGATACCGATATGGTGCAGCTGATCGAAGAGCTCGGCCTGGGAGATTCTCTGCAATGGCTGGAGTCTCGGGTGGGTTTATTCCACGGAGGCCGTATCTGGGATTTTGCCACTCCCATGGACCTGCTGCGGTTTGCTCCCCTGACCCTGACCCAGCGCATCAGGCTGGGAGCGTGGACCTTCATCCTCCAGAAAACCCGCAATTGGCGCAAGTTCGAAGGCATCACCGCAGCGGATTGGGTGCGCGACCACATGGGCGAGGCGGCCTGGCGAGTCATTTGGGAACCCATGCTGCGGGGCAAGTTCGGCGATTACTACGACCAAGTCAGCATGACCTGGCTGTGGGGCAAGATATTTCTTCGCGTGTCCTCGCGCAAGCGGTGGGAGAAGGAACGCCTGGGATATCCCATGTGCAGTTTCGGTACCGTGTTCGACGTCTGCGGCGAGCGAATCACGCAGCAGGGCGGTCTGGTACACACCAGCGCTGCGGTTCGCCGGGTGGCTGTCGAGGGCGGCGTAGCCCAGGGACTCGTCGCCTCCGTGGACAACGAGCCGGAACGCAATTACGACTACGACGCGATTATCGCGACCACGCCGTCCTATGTATTCACCCGGTTGGTTCCCGAATTACCTGACGACTATCGGACCGTGCTGGAATCGGCACGCTACCTGTCGGCGGTGTTGATGATCCTCGTGCTCGACAAACCCCTGTCGTCCAAGTATTGGCTCAACGTGGCCGACCGGTCGCTGCCCTTCGTCGGCATCATCGAACACACCAACATGATCGATCGCAACCTGTACGGTGGACATCACATCGTCTATCTCACCAACTACCCCGACCGCAATAGCGAGCTTTACCGGAAAGAACCGGCGGACCTGCTGGAAGAGTTTATCCCCCACCTGCAGCGCATCAAACCCCCAATTCTCCCGCGACTGGATCGTTGAGTACCACCATCACCGGGTGGACGGAGCGCAACCTATCATCGGCGTGGGATATACCGACCAAATCCCGGACCACCGTACTCCCATCGACCATTTGTACCTCGCCAATACCACCCAGATTTACCCCGAAGATCGGGGGACCAACTACTCGGTAAGGATGGGCCGGCAGGTGGCCCGGATGGTTCTCCAGGACGCCGGCGAAGCGTTATAGCCAAACAATCTCCGCCTGGCTGCGTTCCTCCCACCTGATGCACAGGCGGGATAGCCCGCTCTGACCCTACCGGCCAGTCTGGCCCTGCCCGCGCAACAGTTTGGGCATTGGGGTTTCGCTCCAGCCGATTCAAGCATACCTGTGCCCAATCCTTGCCCAAATCCGCACGCCCGTTTAGAGCGCGGCGACAGGAAATTTAGTACAATTGTAGACGTGGAATCATGTCCGCCTCTACCTCAATATCTTGTAGGTCTACTGTCTTTTGACAACAATCGCCGTAGTTGCATCCGACCGGAACGGCAGCAGTCCGTATCCCTCCCTTCAAGCCGTTGAAACGGCTGGAGGGCACGTCCGCATCATCACACCCGATACTCCAGCGCCCGATGCGCTCGCCGGGGTTGGCGGATTGCTGATCCCTGACTCAAGCGCCGCATCGTCAGGTCTTGATCTGCTGTCGGCGGCTTTGGCCGTCGACATGCCGGTGCTATCGACCGGGAGCGGAATGCACCTGCTCAACACCTGCTTCGGGGGCGACGCGCCGGTCCCGCTGGACGGGCACGACGTCAACTCCGATTCCGACTTTCAACGCCATCAGATTTACTTGTCACCTGGTTCCAAGGTGGCGGCGATCATTGGCAGCGCCGGCATGTTCCGGGTCAACAGTCGCCACCGCCTCGGCTTGCGTGAACGGCACAGATCGCCGCGTCTCATGTCCATCGCATACCATCTGGACGACGGCGTGATTGAGGGCCTGGAAAGCAAAGAACACAGTTGGGTGATCGGCGTGCAGTTTTTACCCGAACGCGCCGACGAAGTACCCGCCAATTTCAACAATTTATTTCTGGGCCTGGTCGAACGGGCTGGCGAATTCGCCGGCAACGTTCCGACTACCAGCCCGTTGTGCTGAACATCAACAGCAGCAACGAGCCGGCAACCGGATAATCCAAGGAGACATTCTCGATGACCTCTGCCCCACCATTAGATCCCAACGGTCGATTCACCGATATCGCCATCGAAGACGAGATGCGCACGTCGTATCTGTCGTATGCGATGAGCGTGATAGTGTCCCGGGCGCTGCCCGACGTCCGCGACGGCCTGAAACCGGTGCATCGCCGGATTCTTTACGCCATGCACGACATGGGTATCCGCCCCGGCAGCCAGTACCGCAAAAGCGCTCGCATCGTGGGCGAGGTGCTCGGCAAGTTCCACCCGCACGGAGACTCATCGGTTTACGACGCATTGGTTCGCATGGCACAAACCTTCTCCATGCGGGCGCCGCTTATCGACGGCCAGGGCAACTTCGGCAGCATCGACGGCGACCCGCCCGCAGCAATGCGATACACCGAGCGCGGCTGGCGACCATCGCGGAAGAGATGCTGGCAGACATCGACCAGCAAACGGTGGACGTGAGCGACAACTTTGACGATTCGCTCAAGGAACCCCGGGTTCTCCCCGCCCGTATGCCCAACCTGCTGGTCAACGGGTCGTCCGGAATCGCGGTGGGCATGGCGACCAACATGCCGCCCCACAACCTGGGCGAGATTTGCGATGCCGTCAACTACGTTATCGACAACCCCGCCTGCGACGTGGACCAGTTGATAGCAATTGTGCCGGGTCCCGATTTTCCCACGGCCGCCGTGATACGCGGAGTAACCGGCGTGCGTGACATGTACGCGACCGGACGCGGCCGCATCATCATGGAGGCGGTTACCGAGATCGAGGAAAACCCGTCAGAACCGGCAACGAATCATCGTGAGTCAGCTGCCGTATCAGGTCAACAAAGCCAACCTGGTCGAGAAAATCGCTGGGCTGGTGCGTGACAAGACACTGGTTGGCATTACGGAAATCCGGGATGAATCGGACCGCCGGGGTATCCGTGTGGTGATCGAACTGAGCCGAAACGCCCAGGCCACCGTCATTCTGAACAACCTCTACAAACGAACCGCACTGCGTTCCTCCTTCAATGCCATCATGCTGGCATTGGTGGACGGCCAGCCCCAGGAGCTCTCGCTCAAGGATCTCATCACCCACTTCATCACCCACCGGGAAGAAGTGATCCGTCGACGCACCGAGTACCAGCTGGGTCGGGCGCGGGATCGCGCGCACATCGTTGAAGGTTTGCTGAAGGCGCTCGACGCCATCGACGCCATCATCGAGACTATCCGCAACAGCCAGGACGTGGAAACGGCCCGCAACAACCTGGTGCAGCAGTTCGACCTCTCCGAAATTCAGGCACAGGCCATCCTGGACATGCAGCTGCGCCGGCTGGCCGCATTGGAAAGGCAGCGTCTGGACGAAGAATACAACGACCTGCTCGCCACCATCTCCCAGTTGGAAGATTTGCTGCAAAACCCGCAGCAAATTCGGGCGGAGATCAAGCGGGAAACTCGCGAACTCAAGCGCAAACACGCCAACGAGCGCCGCACCGTAATTGAACTGGCCGAGCTCCAGGAGCAGTCCATCGAGCAGTTCATCGTCCAGGAAGATGTCGTGGTTACCCTGAGCCAGCGCGGATACATCAAGCGTGTGCCCATCAGCACCTACCGGAATCAAAAGCGTGGTGGCAAGGGCGTGCGCGGCGCCAGCAATCGCGACGACGATGCCCTGATGCAGTTGGAGGTGGTCAACACCCACGATCAGCTGCTGTTCTTCACCAACAAGGGGCGCGTTTACCCCCTCGATGTCTACAAAACGCCCAACGACACCAGCCGCACCGGTCGCGGTGTACTGCTGGTGAACCTGATCAATCTGCAGCCCGGCGAACAGGTGCAAACTATGCTGCCGGCTCGCCGCGGCGAATACAGCCATCTCTATATCTTTGCCACCAGACGCGGACGCGTAAACGCTCTGCGCCCCGGCCAGTTGCGCAACCTGCGCGCGTCCGGGCTGTTGGCGATGAAGATTCCGGACGGTGACGAACTGATCGGAGTACGCCCGGCAGCCCCCGATACTTCGATTCTCCTGGTTACCGAGCAGGGGCCAGCCCTGCTGTGCCCGGTAAGCAGTATTCCCCTTCGCAACCGGAACGCCACCGGCGTAATCGGGATGCGACCCGAACCCCACGACCGGATCATCGCCCTTGACGTCGTCAACAATCCGGAGGACGAATTCCTCCTGGTGGTCAGCGAAAAGGGCTACGGCAAGGCGACCCCGCTATACAACAAAACCAAGAATGAGGTCATCTACCGAGAACGCGGTCGGGGCGGTAAGGGCGTCAAAACGTTCAACGTGGAAGACAAGGGCGACCGGGCAACCGGCCCATTGGTAGACGCCAAGATCGTAACCTCAGCTGAAATGAACGACGAGGAAGGCCACGAGGTGTTTATCATCTCGGCTCGCGGCCAGGTCGTAAGGATCAACCTCGCCGCGGTGAAGGTGGTCAACACCCGCCAAACCAAGGGTGTAATCGTGTGGCGAGAACGCGGCGGCGACGACAGCGTAGTGTCAATCGCCTGCTTCCGCGCCAATGACTATAGCCAGGCAGACCCCACCCGTACCGACGGCCAGGCCACGTCGGTGCTGGAACAGGCCGAAGAAATCGCCGCCGAAGCCGATCTGCAGTACGAGCCCGATGATCCGGATGCTGAAGCGGTGGAAACCGAGGACATTGCTGCGGAAGATGGAGACATGCCGCTGAACGGTTCAGCCAACGGTCAGGCTTCGCTGTTCCCTCTGGGCTCTGACGAGGACGAAGCCTCCAACGAGGACGAAGCCTCCGACTTTGATGAAGACGCTGACGAAACAGATGAAGACGAATACGACCCCGAGCAAGGTTAGAAAACCATGCGGCTGGTAATGGTACACGGCTCGGGTCAGAACGAGCTCACCTACTACTATCAGAAAGCCAGGTTCCCCGAGGTTGACGCAATCAACCTGCCCGGGCATCCGGACGGGGAACCGCTGGACTCCATCGGCGGGTACGTCGATTGGCTGCGGGAGTATGCGTTGGACCGAGGTTACGCGCCGTTCGTACTGTTCGGTCATTCGATGGGCGGCGCCATTGCGTTGGATTATGCACTGCGGTTTCCCCAGGACTTGGCGGGCCTGGTGCTGATTGGCACCGGAGGTCGGCTGCGGGTCCACCCCGATTATCTGAACCGTTGCCTGAATGACGCCCAATGGCGCTCGGAAGCGCCGGCCTACTATGAGGCCATCAACAGCGAACTCGCGCCCCAACTGGCGGCGCGGGCATTACAATCCGGGCCGATGGTTGAGCACAACGACCTGTCAGCCTGTGATCAGTTTGACGTGATGGAGCGTATCAAAGAGATCGATCTGCCGTCGCTGGTTATCGTGGGGCAGGACGACGTGATGACACCCGTGCGGTATGCAGAATACCTGGGTCGGGAGTTAAAAAATGCCGAAGTCGTGGTGGTTGCCAACTCGGGCCACTTCGTGACTCTGGAGCAGCCGGAAGCGGTAAACGCCGCGGTTGCCCAATTCCTGGAGCGGCTGGATAAGTAACCAGCCGGCATTTCCAATCCTTGATGCCCCCACGTATGCCGATCGGGAGCGTCGTATCCGGGCGAGGTCGGCGTTAAAGTCGCGGGCGCCCTGGCTGTTGCGATCCGGTTGCCCGGTTATTCCTGCCCCGGATGATACCAATGGCTGTCGTAAAACATGAGCGGATTGGCATTCTGGTCGCTTTGCAGCATCTCTTTGACTTCGCCGACGTAGATGGTGTGGTCGCCGTAGACGTGGGAGCCGATGATGTCGCAGTTGAAGAACACCATTGAGCCGTCCAAGGCGGGAACTCCGTGGGCTCCGGCAGTGTAGGAGTATTCCGGGTTGCCTTCACGCCGGGCCGGCGGGCGCGCGAAATAACGACCAAGCTCTTCCTGTTCCTCGCGCAGCACGTTCACGCCAATACGCAATTGCTGTTCCACGTACCCGTAGGTAATTGTGCTGTGGGCCACGCACACCAGCAAGGTTGGCGGTTCCAGACACACCGACGTAAAGGCGTTGGCGGTCATGGCGTGAGGAAAACCCTGAGAGTCCAGCGTAGTTATTACGGTAACGCCGGTAGCAAATTTGGACATCGCGGTGCGAAATACGACTGAATCAACCACGGCGGATTCACCCCTCTGGCAATTTTCCGATGATTATACTCGGCTAGTATCACTAACGCCAGACGCCGCCAAACCGCTGCCCGGACAGTCTGCAGACTGCGCTTGACCATCCGGCCAGGCCCGAAAGGCGTCACCAACACGTTCGGGTGGCAGATCGCAGGCGATATCAGCATCCAGCTGAGCACCGTATCGGCGGGAATCTTTCCGGTGATACGGTCGGGATGTGTCAGCTGCGCCAGCACCTCCAGCCCATCGACTATCCTGGGGCCGGGACGGCTCAGCGTACTGTGGTCGATCAGGTACACTTCGCCATTTCGTACCGCCGGCAAACTGTTCCACCCGTGCTGCGCCGCCAACCAGGGAATCTCGCGCACACTCCGGGCCAGGTCCGACGAGCACAGATCGACAAACAAATTTTTCTGGTTGCGCCTCCAGCACGTCATCCCACGATATTCGTTCCGCCGGACAACCGGGCGCAAATCTTTCTGGCAGGCGACCGCCGGCCCGCAGCAGCAGATCAGTGACCCAATGGCCACCGATAACCAGCGGATTCACGCCCTCCAGTGAGAAAACGGCCGGACGGCGTGACACGTCACCAATGGCTTCGGCAACCGCGTCAATGCGGGATTGCATCGAGGCCTGAAGCGCTCGGGCCTGGTCCGCAGATCCGCATGCCGTGCCAACCTCAATAACACTCTCCAAAATCTCGCTAACCGTCCGTGGATTCAAATTCAAAACCTGGGGAGGAATCGCCAAAGGTTGTACGGCGTTGTTAACGGTGCCAGCATCGATCTCGCAAAAGTAGCACAAGTCCTGAGTCAGCACGACTTCCGGAGCCGCTTGTTCCAGCCACTCGACATCGAGCTCGTACGGGCTTTCACCGGCGGACAATATCCGGTGCATTTCGGCTTCGACCTCTGCACTGGACAGCCTGGAGGGATCAATGCGGCTACGACAAACAACTCGTTTGGTGGCCGCAGCCGGAGGGTAATCGCACAGGTCGGTTACACCTATAATCTGTTCGCCCAATCCCAGCGCGAACAGGATTTCAGTGCCACTGGGAAGCAACGAGCAAACACGCACGGTCATCAACCTCGCCGGTAACGCGGACGCGGATCCCCGCGTATTTCAGGGTAGTACAACGGCGGCATTGTAGCATATACTCTCCGCGTGGACGCTCGATTCCAGGGGTTAATAGCTCCATCATGAACAACCCTGCCGCCGAAACCGTGAGTCTCGCATCAACCCAACAGTGGGGCAAGTTCGCGTTAGTTCGACTCAACGCATACAGTTTCGGATTGGCGGGTTTTATCTTGACGATGGACACCATCATCGTGCCCATCCTGGTGCTGCAGGTTGCACCGGAAGCCGCCAAGAACACTTTGCTTGGAGCCGTGGGTTTGGGCGGCCTGCTCGCTGGAGCAGTGGTGCAGGTACCCGTGGGATGGGCCAGCGACCGCACCCGCTCCCGCATCGGTCGCCGCTTGCCGTATCTCATTTGGGGCTCGGTATTCATTTCGGTGGGTATGGGAGCCCTGGCGATGCCCCTCAGTTACGGCAGCCTCCTCATTTCCTGGCTATTCATCCAGATCAACTCCGGTATCGCTTATACCCCTTATCTGGCTTCCGTCAGAGAACTGGTTCCAACAGACCGCCTGGGAGTATCGGCGTCCATCAAAACCCTTCTGGAGGCTCTGGGCGGCGCTTCCATGCTGTTCCTGTCTGGCATGATGGTGGGGAGATATACCGGTCCAGACACCGTTTACTGGTTATGGGTCACCCTGGGCGTGTTTGCCATCATCATGGTTGGCTCCACCAGCGCCAGTTGCGCCACTATCTTCCTTCGCTCGGGCGGATCGCGCGGCATAGCTTCGGCGGCATTTCACCGCTCTGAAATGTCGTTCCCGGAAACGGCCAATATGACGCGGCTGCACCCGGATCTGGCGTGGTTCGTAGTATCGCGCGCGGCCATATTGGCTGCCGTGGTGATATTCACCACCTACGGCCTCTTCTTCCTGCGCGACAAGGTGCAGGTGGACAACCCGGCAGAAGCTTTGGGTGTTGCGATCATCGGCGTTGGCGGTATGCTTGTTCTCACAACCTACCCGGCCGGGTGGATATCAGACCGCGTTGGTCGAAAACCGGTGCTGATGACAGGCTTCGTGATCGCAGTGGGATCGACGCTGATCATGATGTGGGTCAGCACCTACCTGTTGACAGTACTGGTTGCCAGTTTCATCGGCGGCGCGGTGGGGGTCATATTGACTGCCCACTGGGCAATGGCCAACGACCTGGGAACTCCCGGCCGAGAAGCCCAGCACATGGGCATCGTTAACTTGGGCACACTGATGGGCGCCGCCGGCGCCAAGCTCATGGGCCCATTGCCAGACTTGATTACAGTCTGGTTCGGTCCCGGTTTTGGCTACACCGCCCTTTTGGGAGCCAGTGTCCTGCTGTTCATCATTGGGGCCGCCACACTGCTCAAGGTGCGCATCGACCACCCCGCGTTGCGGGCGCAGCCGGCGAGCGTCACCAGAGACTGACGCAAATCCCACACCGTGGCGGACCGCAGCCGGATGCGCCGCCTTCCGGTGAGTGGTCTCTAACTGTTGCGCCGCTGCAACGTTTCCCGCACGAAGAGCATTACTCCGATACCCGCCGCGGCGAACAGGATGGCATCCACCCACAAGGCCCACGGGAAGCCGGCAGCGTCGGCAATGGCGCCGAACGCCATCGCTCCGGACACGGTGCCCAAACCGGCGAAACTGCGGAAGAGGCCCAAGGTCACACCTTCCATGCCGGCGGGTGCTATATCTGCGAAGAAAACGGTGCCGGCTGGACTTCCAAGTCCTTCACCCATGCCCAACAGCACGCCGGATAGCAGCAGTTGCCACAGGCCATCGGCCCACACGAAGGCAGCGATGCCGGCGCACATCAGGATTACCGATGGCACTATCGGTGATTTCCTGCCGAACCGGTCGGAAAGGTACCCCGACGCCAGGGTAAAAAAGAATTGTGGAAAATGGGTTAAGCTGAGCCACAACCCCAGTTGATCCGGCCCGAATCCCTTGAGCTTGCCGAACAGGGGCATAACGCTGAACCGGGCGCCCTGGCGGTTGGCCACTATCATAATGGCAAACAAGCCCACAAAGATGAACGCCGGGCTTAACATGAGCCTCAGAAACGCCCCACGCCGCCTCTCCACCGGCAGGTCCTCCCCCGGCGGGTTCTCCTGTGCAGTTTGCTGCGTCGGTCGGCGCCGGGGGTCGGCCTGCTGCTCGCGCCACCGTGACTCAGGCAGTACGAACAGGATCACCAACAGGGACAACGACATCAGCCCAACCTGGACAAAGAGGGGAATGCGGAGCCCGAACCACGAAGCCAGATATCCACCCAGCAACGGCCCCAGAATCTGGCCGGAAAGAATGCTCATCTCATGCGTGCTGAGTATGCGTCCCCTGGTTTCGGCGGTCGACTCGTCGCGCAGGTACACCGTTGACACAGTCGAGAATGCGTTTGCTCCCAAACCGGACACGAACCGCCATCCGGTGAGCCACCAAAAATGGAATGATACGGACACCATGGCAGCGCCAAACAGGTTCAAAGCCGCTCCCAGGGCCAGCACCGGGCGGCGTCCGTACACCTGGGTCAAATACCCGGCTGGAACTCCAGTAATCAGGCGTCCCGCGCCGAAAAGCCCGATGGCAATGCCAACCTGTGCCGCGTTGACGTGATACTCCTGCTGGGTAAAGAGGGGCAGCACCGGCGCCACGGTTCCCATCCCGAAACTATTAAGAGCCACGGTGATGCTTAGTAATGTGATACTGCGATACCGGGTGAACAGCGTCCTTCTTACGCTGGATATCACGATGGGGAAAGCTCGCTGTCTTCGACCGAGCCGGAAGGCGGGCGTATTATTTCCCTGATTCGCCGTTCGATTCGGAAACGCGGCGCCATGATGTAGTGGTCACAGGTTTGGCAGAATAGGCCGATATCTCCACCCACCCGATTCACTCGCCAACGGTCCCCCCCACACGGGTGAGCTTTCTTCAGGCGGACGATGTCGCCGGGCTTCAGGTCTAGCCCCATCCCAACCCCGCCGCCTGCAGTATCCCGTTGATATTGTTCCGCAGATTGGAAGCCGCAACACGCGCCGCGCTGGCAAAATCTTCGCCCCGCGAAGCGTAAATAATTCCTCGGGATGAGTTGATGATCGCCAACCGACCCGCGGCGTCCACGCCACGCACCACGGCTGACTCCAGGTCGCCGCCCTGCGCGCCGACGCCGGGGATCAGCAACGGCAGGTCTGGACAAACTTCCCTCACCGCTGCCAGTTGTTCGGGAACCGTGGCGCCCACCACCAACCCGACATTTCCCTTCGCAGACCATTGGTTAGACCGGCGGGCCAGCCGCAGAAACAACGGCTCTGTACCCTGTCCATCGGCGCCCACCGCAAGGTCCTGCAGGTCGGCTGATCCCGGATTTGAGCCTCGACACCAGATGAAAACACCGCGATCCGGTGCGCCGAGCCACGGTTCGATCGAATCGCTGCCGCCCCAGGGGTTGATGGTAGCGGCGTCGAATCCCCAAACATCAAACATGGCTTTAACGTACGCTTTCGCCGAAGAGTCCATGTCGCCGCGCTTGCAATCACCAATTATCACGCAGCGCGGCGCAACCTTCCGGATGTGTCCGATGGTAGATTCCAGCGCCCGGAATCCGGGCAGGCCCAATGCCTCATAAAATGCCAGATTGGGCTTATAGGCGCAAACCAGGTCGGCGGTTTCGTTCACGATGGGCCCGATTGAATTCAGCCACGTCGGTAACCGGCATCATCTCGGGATTAACGTCCAAACCCACGCTAACAAGGCTTTGGGATTCTTCGGAAGCGGCGCGCAGCCGGTCAACGAAACTGGTCATCTGTACCTGGCAAAAACGGCGGAAAACGATTACGGCATTATAAACCCAATCTCCCGCTCATGCGTACCCACCTTTCACGCGTACCACCTTGTCATTGCGACCCCGTACTTGATGCGGGGGTGGCAATCTCAATGAGGCTGAACACACGTAGACGATCCTTCGACAAGCTCAGGACGAACGGCCCGGTGGGGCCGCCCGAGATTGCCACGTCACTGTGCTCCTCGCAAAGACAGATCAAAGTGGGTACGCGTGAGCGGTCTCCCGGGGTTGTCATGGCGGAACGGGTCGCGATACGATTATCACATCTTACGCAGGCGTTGGACTGCACGGAGACAATTCGTTGCGTTACCCTCCGCTGGTCGAAGGCCGCTTCATAAAGCGCCTGAACCGTTTCGCCGCTCTCGTCGACATCGATCATCGCGAGCACCTGGTCCACGTGGCCAACTCCGGACGCATGGAAGAGCTGCTGGTGCCGGGCTTCCGCGTCCTGCTGGCTCCAGCGCCCCAGCCGTCCGCCCGAAAAACCACCCACGATCTCGCAATCGTTGATACCGGCAGTACCCTCTCATCCGCCGATGCCCGATTGCCCAACCGTCTGGTTGCCGAGGCCATCGCCGAGGGTCGCCTGCCCCAATTCGCCGGCTATCCGGTGCTGCGCCCCGAATCCACGTTCGGCGAGAGCCGGCTGGACTTTCGCCTCGACGGCCCCACGGGAACCTGCTACGTGGAAACCAAATCGGTAACCCTGGTAGTTGATGGAGTCGGGCTGTTCCCGGACGCGCCCACCATCCGCGGCGTCAAGCACCTGCGCAGCCTGATGAGCGCTATCGACCAGGGCCATCAGGCGTCGGTCATTTTCGTCATCCAGCGCTCCGACGCCAACGCCTTCGCTCCCCACGATACCGCCGATCCATTGCTGGGACAAACCCTGCGACAGGCCGTGGCCAGAGGTGTACAGGCATGGGCATATCGTTGTCACCTGGACGATACCAGCATCGTTCTGGCCGACAGCATACCGGTGCGACTGTAATGCCGGGACGCCATCCGCAATGGTCGCCCAACGAAACGCCGGCGGCCATGATGCTGATATACCACCGGTTGCTAACCGCCTACGGACCACAGGGCTGGTGGCCTGGCGACAGCCGTTTTGAGATGATCGCCGGCGCCATCCTCACGCAGGCGGCGGCGTGGCGCAATGTGGAACACGCCCTCGCCAACCTGCGGCGGGAGGCGATATCGGACTGGCATATACTGCACCGCACCGACTCGGAAATCCTGGCGCAGATTATACGGCCGTCCGGTTACTACAACGTCAAGGCCCGCAAGCTCAAGGCGTTCGCCAGCCACGTGTGCGAACAATACGGCGGCGATCTGGACGCCATGTTCGCATCCGATACCGTCAATTTGCGCCGCGAGCTGTTGAGCATATACGGCATCGGGCCAGAAACCGCCGACGATATCCTGGTGTACGCCGCTGGCAAACCGTCATTCGTAATTGACGCCTACACCATCCGCATCATGGAGCGTATCGGCATTACACCTGAAGGCGGTTCTGATTACGCCGGTTGGCAAGCGTTATTCCACGCCAGCGTCGTCCCGGACGTAGCGGTGTATAACGAATTCCACGCCCTGTTGGACCACCACCATAAAGCCGCCTGCACCAGAAACGACCCCCAATGCAATGGATGTTGCCTGAACGAAATCTGCGCCACCGGGTTGCGACGGAAGCACGAGGGTCAGTTAACGCCCAATCCATCAGCGTGATGGAGCCCGAACGTGTTCCGGTAACAGGGCGTTTACCTGTCCGTCATTGGTAATTAACCGTATCGCAACGGATACGTAACGGAAGCGCAACGGCGTTGTAAAACAATCGCCGTACGATGACCATGCTTACCCGGTTGGAGGCATGGACATTTTGTTACTCGAGCAACAGCGCAACATAGAATTTGGGGCAGCCACCGCCACGCACTGCCCTTATTGTGCATTCCAGTGCGGGATTGAGATTTCCGGAACTGGCGCTGACGTTCGTATCGCCGGGGATGCGGCCTTCCCCGTGAACAAGGGTGCGCTGTGCATCAAGGGTTGGACCGCCGCCGCCGCGCTGTCTCATCCAGACCGCCTTACGACTCCCCTGGCGCGTGACCCCAACGGCGTTCTGGTTCCGGTTGGCTGGGAAGAAGCCCTGGACAGGATCGCCAGCGCTTTCAAAGGCACGCGCGAACAATACGGCCCCGATGCCGTGGGTATTTTCGGCGGCGGGTCTCTCACCAACGAGAAGAGCTACCTGCTCGGCAAGTTCGCCCGTGTTGCCTTGCAGACTGCCAACATCGATTACAACGGGCGCTTTTGCATGTCATCGGCGGCCGGGGCCAGCATCCGTTCCCTCGGGCTGGACCGCGGCCTGCCCTTCGCTTTGCAAGACATCGCCGGCGCCCAGGCCATCCTCATGATGGGCAGCAACTCCGCTGAAACCATGCCCCCGATGATGCAGTATTTCGAGGAGCAGAAAGCCGCCGGCGGCAAACTCATCATCGCCGATCCCCGCCACACTCCGACCGCCGCCCGCGCCGACCTGCACTTCAGGCTCATACCGGGCACCGACGCGGCCCTGGCATTGGGCCTGATCGGCAAACCCAACAGCGGCTACGGCTGCCTCACCGGACAGGGCGGACGCGAGCATGGCCAAAAAGCCGACCAACTGCCCGGATATCGCCGCATCGACGATCCAGCCGCGCGCCAGTACGTGGCATCCGTTTGGGGCGTTCCGGAAACGAGCATCCCCGGGCCGGGTATATCTGCCTACGAGCTCCTGGACTCGCTGGGACAGGATGGCGGTGTGCGTTCCCTGATGGTAATGGGTTCCAACGTCGTTGTGTCCGCGCCCAATGCCAACCATGTTGTCGACCGAATCAAGGCCCTGGACTTCCTAGTGGTCAGCGATTTCTTCCTGTCCGAAACCGCCGAACTGGCCGACGTGGTGCTGCCATCGGCGCAGTGGGCCGAAGAGGAAGGCACCATGACCAACCTGGAAGGGCGCGTCATCCGCCGCCAGTTGGCGTGCGAACGTCCCGTCGGTGTAAAGGACGACATTGACGTGATCTGCGAATTGGCGTCCCGCCTGGGCACGGGAGCCTTCTTCGCCTACAAGAACACGGGCGAGATATTTACTGAACTGGGCCGAGCATCGGCGGGTGGCCCGGCCGATTATTCCGGAATCACCTACGAAAAGATCGACGCCAGTCAGGGCGTCTTTTGGCCCTGCCCCAGCCTGACCCATCCCGAGCACATCTCTATGGTACCACCCGCGCATGTAAGGTCACGACGATGCTTCCCATTCTCGGCGCCTCGTTTCCCGCGTGGTCGCGCACGAAGCCCCTGCGGAACAACCCGACGCCGACTACCCGCTCTTCCTGACCACCGGGCGGACCTGGCGCACTATCAGTCTGGCACCCAAACTCGTCGCATCCCCGAACTTCAGGAGATGATGCCGGCGCCTCTGGCCGAGATACACCCGTCGACGGCGCGCCGCCATCAACTGGAAGACGGTGGGCCGGTAACGTTGCAGACCCGGCGGGGTTCGGCGAATTTCAAAACCAACATCTCGCGCAACATTCGCGAAGATACGATCTTCGTGCCTTTCCACTGGGGTGGGATGCAGGCGGCCAATCGGCTCACCAACCCGGCCCTGGACCCAATCAGCAAAATGCCCGGATTCAAAGTGTGCGCCGTGCGCATCCAAAGTACTCCACATCCAGCCTCCCCCACCGGGGAAGCGGGAAATCGCCCTTAAGGAGATAGATAACCTTGGCAGAGAAAAAACAGCTCGTGGTCATCGGCAACGGCATGGCCGGCGCCAGATTCGTCGAAGAAATGGTGTCGCTAGGGGGCCAGGAATTCTACGACATCACCGTCATCGGCGAGGAAACCTGGGGCAATTACAACCGTATCCTGCTCTCTGGCGTTCTCTCGGGTTCCCACGACCCCGACGACATCTTTATCAACCCCCTCAGCTGGTACGAGGAAAACGGCGTAACTCTCCACGCCGGCACCCGCGTCATCGGCATCGACCGCAAAGGGAAGATGGCCTACGGAGCCGGCGGGCTCCTGTTGCCCTATGACAAGTTGGTAATCGCCACCGGCAGCAGCGCCTTCGTCCCTCCCATGGAGGGGTTGATGGACGACGACGGCGGCTACAAATCAGGCGCTTTCGTGTTTCGCACTCTCGACGATTGCACCGAGATCATCAATTACGCCGATAACGCCAAAAAAGCCGCCGTCATCGGCGGCGGTTTGCTCGGTTTGGAAGCCGCTCGCGGCCTGATGAACCGCGGCCTCGAAGTCGACGTCATCCACCTCATGGGTTGGCTCATGGATACCCAGCTCGACTCCCAATCGGGCCAGCTGCTGAAGCAAAGCCTGGAGGGTCTGGGCGTCAGGTTCCATCTGGAAAAGCTCACCACCACAGTGCTCGGCGACGGCCACGTCACCGGATTGCAGTTCAAAGACGGGGGAATGCTGGATTGCGAGATGGTCGTGATCTCAGCGGGCATCCGGGCCAACGTCGATCTGGCTCGCATGGCCGGGCTGCACGTCCGCCGCGGCATCCTGGTCAATGACAGCCTGGCGTGCCGCAACGATCAGGACATCTACGCCATCGGAGAATGCGCCGAACACCGCACCCAGGTTTACGGTCTCGTTGCCCCACTGTGGGAACAGGCTCGCGTACTGGCCGAACGGCTCGCTGGACGCAACGCCGATGCCGTATACACCGGTTCGCGCGTATCAACCAAGCTGAAGGTAATGGGCGTGGAGCTGGCCGTAGCCGGCGACAAAGACCCGATGAGCGAAGACGACGAGGTTGTAACCTACATCGAACCCAACCGCAACGTTTACAAGAAGGTCATCGTTCGCGATGGCAAGGTCACCGGCGCTATTCTGCTGGGGGATGGCCTCACTGTCCCCCGGATTTTGCAAGCCTTTGACCGCCAGGAAGCGCTGCCCGAAAACCGCTCTGAATTGCTCTTTCCCCTGGCCGCCGACGCCGTAGCGAGTTTGAACGTTGAGGATCTGCCCGACGACGCCCAGATATGCAACTGCAACGGCGTCACCAAGGCCAGGATCGTCGCTGCCGTTGACGGTGGGCATCGCAGCCTCAAGGCAGTATGCGACGCCACCCGCGCCGGAACCGGCTGCGGGTCCTGCAAGATGCAGGTTCAGGCTGTCCTGGAACTGGCCGCCGATGGCCTGGTCGCTGACGATCCTTCGGCGCATTACTACGTACCCGGCATCGCCCTCACCAAGCCCGAGCTGATCGGCGCCATCAAGGCAATGAGCCTGAAGAGCGTTTCGGCGGTGTTCGATGGGTTGTCCGGAGGCAAGGAAGACGCCGGCAGCAAGCTGGGTTTGGCATCGCTGCTGCGCACAATCTGGGGCGCAGACTACGAAGACGAACGCGACGCCCGCTACATCAACGACCGGGTTCACGCCAACATCCAGAAGACGGACGTTCGGCGTGGTGCCGCGCATCTATGGCGGTATCACCTCGCCCGACGAGCTGCGACCGCATCGCCGACGCTGCCGAAAAGTACGAAGCCAAGATGGTGAAGATCACCGGCGGTCAGCGTATCGACCTGCTGGGTATCCCCCAGGAACACCTCCCCGACGTTTGGCGGGAGATCGGTATGCCTTCGGGCCACGCCTACACCAAAGCGTTCCGAACCTGCAAAACCTGCGTCGGCACCGATTTCTGCCGCTTCGGCCTCGGCGATAGCACGACCCTGGGTGTAAAGATCGAAAAGCGGTTCCAGGGCATCGAGTCCCCCCACAGAAGATGAAACTCGCCGTATCCGGTTGCCCTCGCAACTGCGCGGAATCCACCACCAAGGACGTCGGCGCAACCGCCATCGAAGGCGGCAAGTGGGAAGTCCACGTCGGCGGAGCGGCCGGTTCTCGCGTCCGCAAGGGCGACACCCTCTGCACCGTGGATTCCCACGACGACGTGCTCAGGTACATGGGCATCTTCATGCAGTACTACCGGGAAAACGCCAAGTATCTGGAACGCACCTACGATTTCGTCGAGCGTTTGGGAATCGAAAAGCTGCGCCAGATCCTGGTGGAAGACAGCGAGGGAATCTGCGGACGTCTCGAATCCGAGATGCAGGCGGCGGTGGATGCGTATCAGGACCCCTGGAAAGAGGAATCCGAAGCGCCCATCCACCCCAACCAATTCGTAACCGCTCCCGCCCCTGTTGAACTGGTGAGGTAGCGCCATGGTCATCATCAACGCAGAGGCAAATATGAAAACCACCTACAACCTCGGCAACAAGGAACAGATCCCCCTTGGAGAGGGTCGGTTGTTCCAGCCCGGCAATCTGTCGGTCGCCGTCTTCCGCGCGCGGCACGGAGAGTTTTACGCGACGCAGGCGTGGTGCCCCCATCAGGCGGGCCCCCTGGCCGACAGTCTCATCGGCGGCGGCGCCCTTGTTTGTCCGCTGCACAATTTCAGGTTCGACCTGAGTACCGGAGATCCGGTGGGCAACGACTGTGGATCGTTGCAGACTTTCCCCGTATCGGTTAGCGAAGCTGGCGAGATTCTGATCAGTCTGTAATCGCGCAGCTCGATGCGGGGAAACGTCAAGGCCATCGGACATACCCCGCGTTGCCCCATCAACCCGCACCCCTCTTAGGGCAACGAACGTCATCAAATCGCTACGGAGTCGAGATAATGACAATGTTAAGTTCCGCGTTGGAAAGCGCCAAAGCTACACGTATCAACCTGTTCAGCTTGGCCACTCCCCAGATGCGGACTTTCCACCTCACCTGGTTCGCCTTTTTTCTGTGCTTCTTCGGCTGGTTCGGCATTGCGCCGCTGATGGCAGTGGTGCGGGACGACCTGCTGCTCTCCAAAGCCCAAATCGGCAACACCATCATCGCCTCAGTGGCCATCACCATCATCGCCCGGCTGATATTCGGGTGGCTGTGCGACCGCATCGGGCCACGGCTGGCCTACAGCTGGTTGCTGGCGGTGGGATCCATCCCGGTGATGTGCATCGGCTTTGCCAACAGCTACGAAACCTTCCTGCTGTTCCGGCTGGCGATCGGCGTAATCGGCGCATCCTTCCGTGATCACCCAGTACCACACCTCGGTAATGTTCGCCCCCAACGTGGTGGGCACGGCCAACGCCACCACCGCCGGGTGGGGCAACCTGGGCGGCGGCAAGGCCGTGGTGGATGAGGTCCTGGGCGATCAGTTCGCTGGCGTGCTGGTCAGAAACTTCTACGCCGCCTATCACCATTACGACGGCCCCAAGCAACGCTGTTGGGCCCACCTGTTGCGGGACATCCACGACCTGCCCGCACTCTACCCCGATGATGACCGGTATGATGACCGGCTGGCCCAATGGGCTGACGCCATCCACCAACTCTACCGTCAGGCGACCGCCTTCACCCATCCCTCAGAGCAGCAACGGCCAGAGCAGCAACGGCGCACCGCCCAACTGGCCTTGGAACAGCGCCTGCTGGCCCTCTGCCGTACCTACCAGGATGACCCATCGGCCGCCCCAACCAGGCTGTGCCGACGCATGGAGAACCACATCAAGGAACTCTTCCTCTTTGTGGCTGAACCCAGAAGTCCCGCCGGACAACAACGCCGCCGAGCGCAGCCTGCGACCGGTGGTAATCAGCCGTAAAATCAGCGGTGGCACACGCTCTGCAGCGGGCACTGACACCAAGATGACGCTGGCCTCAATCTTCGGCACCTGGCGCGTACAAGGCTTCAACCCCCTCACCGCCTGCCGACAACTGCTCACTTCCTCTCAGGCCTGAACTGTTACTCGGGTTCCTGTTCCGGTCCGAAAGCCTCAGCACCGCTGGAGCGCTGTTCATCGTGGGGATTGCGGTGGTGTTGGCATCGGGTATGGTGTTCGCCGTCCGGTTCTCCCGGGAAACCGAGCGGGCAGAGCAGATGGTCCTCAACAACGCTCTGGCGATTCGGTCCGGTATGCCTTCAGGAGCCCCGGCTCAAGCCGCGGCGGACTGACGCGCATCAAACCAACCCTTACCCAATCGGGGGCAGCGTTTCCGTTGCCCCTTTTTCCTGCCCGTGTGCGACGCCGGGGTTTGAATCGGCGGGCAGCTGGCGGAGGTGCTATCATGAGCCCATCCAAAATTGCGCCGGAGGTTGCATCAGATGCAGGTAGTCAGGATTTACACCGGAGAGGACGGCGAATCGCACATCGAGGATCTTGAACTGCCCTACGAGCAGGTGGGTCACGCCATGCGCACGGGGACCCAGGCTGCCACCGGATTGCAGTTCAGCAGTCTCACGCCCGGGCAACTCGTCGAGTTCCACACCGCGCCGCGCCGGCAGTACGTCATCACGTTGCAGGGCCAGGTGGAGATTGGATTGGGCGACGGCACCAAGCGCATCTTCAACGTCGGCGATATTGAGCTTTGCGAAGACCTTTCCGGCCGTGGACACACCACCCGCAGCGTCGGCAACGCCGATCGGGTGAGCGTGCAGATCCCCCTGGTCGACCAGACTCCCGGCGGCGGATTCAGCGTTTAGTTCCGCGCCCGGATGTGGATGGTTCATTGCGTGATGCCGGTATCACTGCCGCGTCACCACCTGCTTGCCGGTTGGGGCTGACTGGAGTACCGGAAGCATGACCGACAACAGTTCCGCAGCGGGATGCCAACGCTTCGCTCGCAAACACAAAAGCCACTTATCAGTTTCGCAACAGGAGGTTGCCATGCCGGTAGCACAACTCGCCGACAACCTGGAAATGTACTACGACGACGATAATTTCACCGACCCCTGGCGCGACCCGGACACGGTGGAGACCATCGTCCTCCACCACGGCAACTCCAAGAGCGGGCGGTTGTGGTACGCCTGGCCTCCGCTGTTGACCCGCCAGTATCGGGTGATTCGAGTGGACGCTCGAGGTTTCGGGCGCTCATCGGTGCCCGAGCCGGGCTACAACTGGTCCCTGGAGGGGTTTGCCACCGACTTGCGCAACCTGCTGGACTATTTGTCTCTGGACAAAGTGCACTTGATCGGCGAAACCATCGGCGGCACCATCGCCCTGCAATTCGCCTACCAGTACCCCGAGCGCCTCCACACCGTCACCACCTGCACGTCGCCGTACAACTTCGTCGGCGTGGATACGTACCAGAATTACTATCGCCTGGTGGAACAGGAGGGCGTCGAAGGCTGGGCCCGCGCCACGGGCGGGCGGCGCGTCAGCGCCGACGAAGCGCCCGAGCATCACGAATGGTATATCCAGCAGATGGGCCAAACGTCCCGCCACGTGGTGCTGGAAACACTCGCTTATCTGGCAACCCAGGACCTTTCCGAGAAACTCGCCAGCATCACAACCCCCGCCCTGGCGATGGTCGGTGCGCTCAGCGAAGGCGATATCCCTGACCGCGCCCAGGGCCAGGTCGACCGTATGCCCAACTGCACGCTGGCGCGGGTTCCCGGAGCCGGGGGTTATGTTCAGCACTCGGCGCCGGAAAAGTGCGTGCTGGCCTGGCAGGAGTTCGTCGGAACGGTTCACCAACCAGCGTAACGTTGGCCCCGGCAGATTCGTTACCAAAGCCCTCGCCCGTGACGGGCGAGGGCTTTGATCGTAGCGGGATTCGTGGTTAGAACAGGGACTTGGACTGCCCGCCGTCCACGTTGATGCAGGCGCCCGTGATCAGGTTCGCCCGGTCTGAAGCCAGGAATGCGACCGTTTCTCCAATTGGTTCCGGCCAGCCAAACTTCCCCATCGGAAGGTTGCGGTCGATAAACTCGTCGACTACCTCCGGGGTGTTGTTCTGCTGAAAACGGTCCCAGGTGCTGCCGGGGAAATCAATGCTGCCCGGAGCCACGCAGTTGACCAGCACGCCGGTCGGCGCCAGTTGCAGCGCCAGATGCTTGGAGAAGGCAATCATTCCCGCTTTACCCGTCATGTAGTCCACCGAGCCGCCATGCTCCCGGCCGTATATCGACGCAATGTTGATCACCCGACCCCAGCCCTGCACCTGCATGTGGGGCAACGCCAGCTTGGTGAGCCGCACCGCCGACAGGAGATTCACCTCCAGACCCTCCACGAACTGCTCGATGGTGGTCTCCGCAAAGAGGAGCGAACCGCGGCGTCCGCCCACGTTATTGACGAGAATGTCCGGGGCGCCCAGGGCGTCGGTGGTTTCTTGCAAAAAGCGCGCCGCGTCGTCAGGATTGGTTACGTCGGCCTGGCTGCCGTTAACCTTGATGCCCATGCCTTCCAGTTCGGCAGCCGTCTTCTGCACTTGCTCGCCGTCCCGCCCGCAAATGGCGACGGCACAACCCTCGCGTCCCAGGGCCAAAGCGCACTGACGTCCCAAACCACGGCTGCCGCCCGTAATCATCGCGACCTTTCCATTCAGGCTCAAATCCATGGGATTGCCTCCGTTGGTATCAATAGAATGGTGGGATTATAGCGGGTTGGCGTCGACGGTGCCGTCGTCGCGGCGGTTCGGGTATCCATGCTGCTGCGTGCTATAATGCCGCCTAGTTTTGATTCGGAGAATCCACTAGATGATCAAGCGTTTTTCAGTCCTGTACGTCGGCCAGATTGACTTGGACAATGTGGGCGCCGACGGTACGCCAGCCGATGAGCGTCGCTATTCCAACGAGCAATTGTCCCAGGCGTACGACCACGCCGTCCAGTTGGCCAAACACATGGATGAACTCGGTTTCTACTGCATGTGGATGGCCGAGCATCACTTTCAGCACGAAGGCTACGAGTGCATTCCCAACCTCATCCTGATGGGCGTTCACCTGGCCGGACAGACCAAAAACCTGAAGTTTGGTTCGGCGTTCAACATCATCCCCATGTGGCACCCCCTTCGCATCGCAGAGGATTTCGCCTTGGCCGACATTCTCACCGGCGGCCGGCTGATCTTTGGGGTGGGTCGCGGTTACCACTCCCGCGAAGTGGAAACATTCGGTTCGCCGGTAATTGACAATGACGCCAACCGTGAACTCTATCTGGAACAGATGGAGGTCATCCAGAAAGCCTTTAATGAGGAGAGCTGGAGTCATCACGGCAAGTACTACACCATCCCGCCGGAAGTTCCCTATCGCGGTTACGACCTCAAAGAAATCACCATGGTGCCCCGCGACCGCTGAACCGCCCGGTGGAGATATGGCAACCCATCGCCAGCGGACGTACCCTGAACTACGTCGCTGAACACGGCATCAAGGCGATGGTGGCGCTTACCGGCGAACTGTACGCCGAGCAGATGATCACCCAGTATCACGACGCCGCGGTTCAGGCTGGCCGAGACATTCCCCTCGGTGGCGACATGGCGCTGGGTTTTGGCTTCTATATCGCCGGCAGCCGCGAAGAAGCCATCGAAGGGGTTCGCCCCTTCCACGACGAACGCTACAAGTGGTTTGCACCCTTCGGGTTCGTGCGCTACACCGACGAGCACGGCCGGCCCTGGGGCACTCCGGGCGCGCCGGCCCGTACTCCCCGCATCGAAGACGGAGTCGACCAAAAGGCCTGGTTCTGCGGCTCCCCTCTGAGTTCGTCGCATTTCTGCGGGAGATTGAGGACAAATACCCCGGGATGGAAGACATAGTGCTCCAGTGGCCCGAGGGGATGCCGTGGCACGAATTCAAGCAGCAGCTATCGATATTTGCCGCCGACGTTATGCCGTCATTCGTCGGAAGTGAAGCCGTTTACTCGGCAGGGAACGACGGCGATGACTAGTCCGTTTCGCTACATCGTAAGTACCCGGCCTCAACTCCTCTCCTTGTGGGGGAGAGGCTTTTAGTAGAGCCGCGGTTTGGCGCGTTTGGAGTAGCGTATTGGCAAACCCGGAGCACGTCGCTGTCGCCAAAAGGCGCACTTATGCCATCGCTCGCTGGAGAGCCCGGTTCTTCCAGTCCCGCGAACGGCTTGACCTGTCCGGCGCCTATCTCAGCGGAGTCAAAATGCCCGGCGTTGACCTGGCCTACGACGACCTGACCGAGATCGACCTCACCTCCGCCGACCTGCACAATGGTAACTTCACCGGCGCGGCCCTCCGCGACGCGCACCTGTCGCGCTGCAACCTGAGCCGCTCCATCTTTACCGATTCCCGAGCCGTGGGCGCCTTCTTCACCCGTTCTGATCTGCGAGGATGCAACCTCGACAATGCCGACCTCCGTGGCGCCGATCTCTCCAACTGCGACGCCGCCTTCGCCACCCTGGTCGGCGCTAACCTCGCCGGCGCCAATCTCACCGAGATTGACCTGACCATGGCCGACCTGACCGACGCCAACCTGAGCGGCGCTCGCCTGAATTCAGCCTGCCTCGATGTCGCCAACCTTTCCGGGTGCGACCTGCGGCGCACCTCTCTGGTACGCACACGACTGGACCGCACGCTGCTGCAGGATTGCATCGTCGATATGACGCTGTTTGGCGACTGCGACTTGAGTTCGGCGTTAGCGCTCAAGTCGATCCGGCACCAGGGCCCCAGCATCGTGGGAGCTGATACCCTGGCCCGCTCCGGGGAGTACCTTGCCGAAGAATTTCTCCGGTCGGCTGGTGTTCCCGCCAACTTCATTACCGGTCAAAATTCTTTGCACAAAACTACGGTCTCCCACCGCCGTATCCTGCTCATTGGGTCTATGGCGGATTACACCATCCTTGGCTGGCTTGAGGCTGAGTTGCGCACACGGGGACTGCAGTGCTGGAGCTTGCTGGCCGATGATGAAGAAACCATTTACAACGCCCAGGTGTTTCCGCCCATGAGCAGGTTCCGCAACTTCGATCGCGTTGCGCTCCTGTGCTCCAGAGAGGCGCTGGAAAGCCCCGCCTGCTGGCGCCTGTACACCGACATCATGCAACGGCAAACGGCGTCCAACGCCCGCCGGGTATACCTGGCCTCGCTCAGGATGGACGACTGCCTCTACGACGACGATGACGATTTGCGCGGGTTCTTGCGTTACAGTCCCACCACCATCCTGCGACCTCGCAAAGACCGGCGCGGCGGTTACCGACGTGATGTTTCCGGCGTGATGGACGTGCTCAACGCTGACCCACCGCCACTGGTGGATACCGACCCGGAACCGGACTGAACTCCAGCACCCAGGTCAGGTCAGCACGCTGATTTCAGTCGCACTGACTTCAGACGCGCTGATTTCAATGTGGATGCTCGCTGAAATCCCATTCGGGCGGAACGTATTCGATCTGTACGTCACTGCCCAGCATCAAACACGCCTCTCCCCATTGGTCGACCGCGTTCACGTCCCAATCGGTTTCTGCGCTCGCCGCTTTGAGACGGATGCCGTCCTCGCCGCCGTAGATCAGCATCACCACACCCTCGCCGGAATCCTCGGATAACGCCGCCATCGCCGGGCAAGGTCGTCCGTTCTCCCAGCCGGTAACGTCGCACCACACATCCGACCCCATCGGATCCGGCGCCAGCAAGTGCACCACTTGCTTCGCGTCGGTCAGCAAATCGAACACCCGGTTCAGGTCCATTGGGCTATTGCCATCGGCAACTACTTCTACTTCATAAAGCATGGGTGTGTATGGTAGGGGCGTCAGATGTACGAGTCAATCGGTTAGCGCCAGGGCGCGGGTTGGTCAGGAGGTGCGGCGGCGAAGGAAGTGGATGAGACCCACGGCCATGGCAGCCCCGACGATCTGCATCACTATGAACAGCGGCGCGGACGCGGGGAGTATACCGGCAAAGGTGTCCGAAAACATCCGGGCGATAGTTACGGCCGGATTGGCAAAGCTGGTCGATGAAGTGAAAAAATAGGCCGCTCCGATATACGCCCCAACCGCCACGGCAACCACTCCGCCTCGCGTGCGGGAAATCAGGGAAATAATCAGCAGCAAGCCGAGGGTGGCAATAACTTCGCCGAGCCATTGACCGGGACCGCCGCGCGCTTTTTGCGACCACGTAACGGGAGGCAAGGCGAACATCACGTTGGCCAGCACGGTGCCTGTGATCCCGCCGGTAATCTGCGCCGCGGTATATGCCAGCCCATCTTTGACGGATCGGTTCTTCAGGACAACGTCGGCCCACGTTACCGCCGGATTGAAATTCCCGCCCGAGATCGGCCCAAACGCCCAAATGAGCGCCATCAGCGCAAACGCGGTTGCCACGGCATTTTCGAATAGCTGCAGGCCAATATCGTTGGGGCTGAGGGTCTCGGCCGCTATTCCACTGCCTATCACGGACATCAGCAGAAACGCCGTACCCACCCCTTCGGCGACCAGCCGTTGCCCAAGTGAGTACATCAGCCGGCCCAAAAAACAAGGCGGATAGTTCCGCCCTTTGAGAAATGCGGGAGCGCCGATTTGAAGCAGATCGGGATAGTCAACTTAACCCCCTGAACTGACGCACCGGTCGGTTGGCACCTGGCATTACAATAAGCGACGGCCACTGTCGGGTGATGCCGATGCGCAGGGCCGCACCGAAATTTTAGCGAAGGTTTCAAGCTCGGTCAACGGCGGAAACCCGCCCCGGCGATGACAGTTCGATGTCTGGCGGTTATACTGCGGCCATAGGAGAAAATCATAATTTGCATGGGTTCGGGAGGGATTCTCGGGCCGGAATGGAGAACTTGATGGCAATCGGACTCACGAGTTACCGTCCGCTGATTGGCGGCGCCACCCACATGATCAGCACCGGCCATTATCTGGCGACGGCAGCCGGCTACCGCATCCTGGAACAGGGCGGCAACGCCATCGATGCCGGCGTCGCAGCCGGCATCGTGATCAACGTCACCCTCCCCCAGTACACCAGCTTCGGCGGCGTTGCGCCCATCATCATCCACCACGCTGCCAGCGGTGAAACCCGCGAAATCAGCGGCCTGGGTCGTTGGCCGGCCGAGGCCAGCATTGACTACTTCATTCGTGAGCACGGTGGCGATATGCCCCACGGCGTCATGCGAACGGTCACTCCGGCGGCTGTCGATGCCTGGATCACATCCTTGTCCCACTACGGCACCATGACCTTTGAGCAGGTGGTAACCCCAGCCCTGGAGTTGGCCGCGGGCGGCTTCCCCGTCCCGGCATCCCTGCATCGGGCCCTGGTGAGCGGCGGCGACAATGTCATCCTGGACGAGGGCGACACCAGCCAATGGGCCAGCACCATGCAGATTTTTTATCCTCGCGGCAAGCCCCTGGGGATAGGCGATCTGCTGGTTCAATCCGACCTGGCGCGCACATTCCAACGCCTGATCGATGTCGAGCGCGCTAGCGCCGGCCAGGGTCGAGAGGCGGGGCTGCAGGCCGCGCGCGATCTGTTCTACCAGGGCGAAATTGCCGAGGAAAATGGTGGCGTTTATCCGCGGCCAGGGCGGCTGGCTGTCGATGCAGGACTTGGCTGATTTCTCGGTGGGCGTGAACGTGCCGCCCATGATCGACTACAAGGGCATCGATGTGTACGCCTGCGGCCCGTGGTGCCAGGGTCCGATGAACCTCCACGCCCTGCGAATCCTGGAAGGATGCGACCTGCAGGGGATGGGGCACAATTCGGCCGATTACATCCACACCGTGCTGGAGGCGCTGAAACTCGCGTTCTCAGACCGCCACGCCTACTACGGCGACCCCGACTTCGTTGACGTACCAATGGACGGCCTGCTGTCCCGCGAGTACGCGGATCTCCGCCGCCGCGAGATCGATCCCAACCGGGCAAATCCCGAGATGCCGGACGCCGGCAATCCCTGGGCGCACCAGGCCGGGACTGGCCGCGCCGCCAGCAAGCCCGAACCGGTAGCCGGCCCGCTGTCGGCCGACACATCGTACATCTGCGCCGTCGACCGATGGGGTAACGCCTTCTCGGCCACGCCAAGCGATGGCTTTGGCGGCGCGCCAATTGCTCCCGGTTTGGGATTCATGGTGTCGGCCCGCGGGGCGCAGAACTGGCTGGACGAAGACCACCCCAGCAGCCTTGCTCCCGGCAAGCGCCCCCGCCTGACGCCAAACCCGGCCATGGCGTTCAAAGACGGCAAACCGTGGCTCCCATTCGGCACGCCAGGCGGAGACGTCCAGCCCCAGTCCATGGTGCAGCTGTTCCTCAACATCGTCGAGTTCGGCATGGACGTGCAGCGTGCGATTGAAGCGCCACGGGCCTCAACGTGGAGCTTCCCCAACTCCTTCTTCCCACATGCCTATCGCCCTGGTCTCGTGGGCATCGAGTCGCGCATCGATTCGGGCGTGGTCGACGAACTCCGCAAGCGCGGCCACGACGTGGACGTGTGGAACGAATGGACCCCAAGGATGGGTTCCCTGTCAGCTATCGAAATCGACCGGGAACGGGGCACCCTCTCGGGCGGCGCCGACCTTCGGCGCGACGGCTATGCAATGGGACGGTAGAGTACCGTTTTTACACGGATCGGCAGGATTTACAGGATTTGAGATCGCCTATACCCAACCTCTCTCCCTCGATGGGCGGGGTGCTATCCTGTGTTGGCGCCAACGGCTACGACGCGGTGCGACCGCCGTCGATGACCAGTTCGCTGCCGGTCATGAAGGACGCTCCGTCGGAGGCCAGGAACAACACACCCCACGATTGCCGCTTAACCACATCCCATTGCAGAATTTGCAATTTCCTATAGGATATGCAACTGGTATCGGATTGCCATCGGAGCAACCTGAAATTTCACATCCGCACACATTAAGGTGAATTGAATTGGCAGAATTGCCCAGCGAAAAAGCCATCCAACGAATGCGCCTGTTTATCGACGCTACTGCGAAAAATCAGGCACATACACACACCCGGGAGAAGGCATCACCGAAGCGGTAGTCTTGGGACTGGCCCAAAACGTTGATGACATCGGCCGGCCGCTCTGTCCCTGCCGCTTTTATCCCGACAAGAAAGAAGAGATCCAGCACCGCACGTGGATCTGCGCCTGCGACGACATGCAGATTTACAAATACTGCCACTGCCTGCTGTTTGTGGACAAAGACGGGTTGCCCATCACCGAATACCTTCCGGAAGACCACGAAGGTCGTGCAATCTATGGCTTGGTGAAAGATCCAAATCCGGACAAGGGTCGACCCCTTCGGAACAAAGCCGAGGAACGGGAGCAGGAGCGCAAGGAACGGCCTTCCTGATTTCTACATCGCGGTGCGCCCGCCGTCGATGACCAGCTCGCTGCCCGTCATAAAGGACGCCTCGTCCGACGCCAGGAACAGCACGCCGTAGGCAATGTCCTCGGGCTGACCCAACCGTCCCAGCGGGGTGCGGCTCAGGCGGTCTTCTCGACCCTCGCCGGCCAGCAGGTCGGCGGTCATGTCGGTCTCGATGGTGCCGGGGTGGACGCTGTTGCACCGGATGCCATCGGCGGCGTGCTGGATGGCGGTGGACTTGGTGAACAGTCGCACCGCCCCCTTGGATGCGGTGTAAGCCGATGAGATGTGGTTGCCCACCAAACCGGCCACGCTGGAGATGTTGACGATGGAACCGCCGCCGGCCTTGCGCAGCTCAGGAATAGCGGTTTTGGTGCCCAGAAACACCCCCTTGGCGTTAACTGACATGGTGGTATCCCAGTTCTCAATTGTGGTGTTCTCCACAGTTTCGGGCCGGTAAATGCCGGCATTGTTGACGAGAATGTCCAGCCTGCCAAAACGGGCAACTGCGGCGGCCATCGCATCCTGCCAGGACTTCTCATCGGTCACGTCCAGGTGCAGAAACAGACACTCGCCGCCCAGCTCGTTGATTTCGGCTTCAACCTGACGACCCAGGTCATCGCGCAGATCGCCGATCACGACCTTGCACCCCTCGCGAGAGAAGAGCCGGGCCTCGGTGGCGCCCATACCCCGCGCGCCTCCACTGATGAATGCTACTTTATTTTCCAGACGCATGATTTCCCTCTCGAATAATCAGTTCATCGGATGGCCAGTTTAGTGGGAGTTTCTCCCTCACCCTAACTTTTGCTCCACCGCTGGACAGGAGGAACTTGGCCGTCGTGCCGCTCAGCATAACAGCCCTGATGTCAGTTCCAAAACCGCAAGCTCCCAACGAGGCGTATCAAGGTACAAAACAGCCCACATCCACCCGGTCGACCCACCGGGTCGGCGGGGGATTCGGGTTGCCAGCCTTCCGCCAACTCGGCGAAATCTTGCATCGCGAGCGCTGCAGATGCGGTTCTACTGCACAGGCCGGTTTCGCCGTTGCGGACGTAAACAATGTACTTCCGGCCTTCCTCAAACTCGTACCCGCACGATACTTCGCTGCGCACGGTCTTGATGGTGATGGTATCGGAGCGCGGCCCTTTCCAGATCCGGTTCACGTCGAACCTCACGCTAACTCGATCAGCGCTGGAGATCATTGGCCAGGATCTGCTCCACACTTGCACAGCAGTTGCCTCCCCAGCGAACACCGCGTCGGCTCGACCCAGCGCCTCGGAGGGGGAACCGGAATTCGCGCACGAGCAGGCGTGGGTTGTGCCGGGATCGGCGAACAGCCAGACGGCATACACGGCGAATATGACGACCGCGCACATGGTCAATTTGGTCAACGCGATTGCCACGTCGCTACGCTCCTCGCAATGCCAGATCGATGCCTGTCACCCTCACCCCGGCCCCTCTCCGGTCAATGCAGCGGGAGACAGTCCCCGTTAGTCCTGAGCCTGTCGAAGGACGCAGGCGTAACCGACTCCCTCTCCCCTTGCGGGAGAGGGTTGGGATGAGGGGGTTCACCGATACCGTTTGTTGGGAACCCATCATCTCTACTGGGCAAACAGGCCGCCGTCGATGACCAGCTCGCTCCCGGTCATAAATGACGATTCATCTGAAGCCAGGAACAGGACGCCGTAGGCTACATCTTCGGCTTGGCCGATTCTGCCAATGGGCGTACGACTCAACGATGCCTGGCGCGCGTTTTCGTCCCGCAGCAGTGTTGGGATGGTCATCGGCGTTTCGATGATGCCCGGGTGCACCGAGTTGCAGCGGATGCCCTCCCCGGCGTACTGGATGGCGGTGGACTTGGAGAACAGGCGCACCGCGCCTTTGGTGGCTCCGTAGGCCGGCGCCCGCCAGCTGCCAATCAGGCCGGCAACGCTGGAGATGTTGATGATGGAACCGCCGCCGGCCTTCCGCATCTCCGGTATGGCCGTTTTGGTGCCCAGAAACACGCCCTTGGCGTTGATGTCGAAGATGTTGTCCCACAGCTCTTCGGTGGTTTCCTCGATGCCGACCTGCCGGTAGATACCGGCGTTGTTGACCAGGATATCCAGCTTGCCGAACCGGTCCACGGCGGTACTCACCGCAGCCTTCCATTCCTCCTCTCTGGTAACGTCCAGCCTGACAAAAACGCATTCGCCGCCGGTCTCGTTTATCTCCGCCTCCAGCTGACGGCCTTCGTCCTCCAGCACATCGGCGATAACGACCTTGCAGCCTTCACCGGCGAAGAGGCGGGCTTCGGCAGCGCCCTGGCCTCGGGAGCCTCCACTGATCAGGGCAACTTTGTTCTCCAGGCGCATCGCTATACCTCCCGTATTGTTCTGGCAAAAAAGCCGCGATCACCGCAGCCAGGATGAGTTTGTGTACAAAACATTGGCTACGATTGTAACCCGGCGGCTTCGCTCGTCAAGTTACGGCATAAGCATCCCAGGGCAGCCCGCAGTTTGACCGTGTCAGGTGGGCACCATACAATGGGCCGACGCCAAAACTCCTGATAGCCGAAACCATGCCAATGTCACACAATCCAACTGCGCCGCCACATCGTCAACGCATCGTGCCCCTGTTGGCCACGCTGGTGATCCTCGCCCTTGCCGTTGCATGCGCGCCGGGCGATCCTGCCGCCGACTTCAACGTCACCACCTTCTCCGGCGAACAGTTCCGACTGTCACAACAGCGAGGTCAGGCTATTGTAATCAATTTCTGGTATCCCTCCTGCCCCCCGTGCCGGGAGGAAATGCCAGCCTTCCAGGAAGTCTGGGAAAAATATCGGGGGCGCAATGTTCAGTTCATTGGATTATTCGTGCCCCAGGGGATTGATACCGAAGCGGATGCCCGACAGTTCGTGGATGATTTCGGACTGACCTTCCAGGTTGCCACCGACACCCAAGCGACCATCGCCCTAGAATACGGGATCAAGTACTTCCCCACCACCTATTTCATCGACCAGGCAGGTCGCATCGCTCGGCAGGAAATCAGCCGCATGGACGCTGACCTGTTGGCACAGATCGTCGAAGACCTGCTGGGTTAGATTAGGCTGCGTTTGCCATGCCCGTCCTGGATGTCATCCTGTTGATCATTCGGTGGGCCCACGCGCTGGCCGCCGTTACCTGGATAGGTGGAAGTTTGTTTTTGCTGTTCGCGGCCCGGCCGGCTTTGAGTTCATCAGAATCAGGCCCCCTGCTTGGTCGGGCGTTGGCTGCCGAGTTTCGTCCCATCGTGGCAACCGCCATTGGTGTGTTGATCGTCACCGGCGTGGTGCTGGCTGTAAGCCGGCTTACGTCGGACGCCGCCAGCATCGGGTATATCGCGGTTCTGGTTGCTAAAATCGCCCTGGCGATGTACGCATTCGCCATCGCCTGGCTGCTGCCCCGCCGACGCCGGCGCAGCCCTCCCGCCGTCGACGGCTCAGTGCGCTCTCCGGGCTTGTTGCAACGGGTTTCCACCACCCTGACCAGCCCGGTCGCTCTGACGGCGGTGGGTGTTATCGTGATTGGATTGGCTGACGTGCTGGACTGGTTGTTCGAACTGGGCCTGGTTGGATGACAATGACTCTGGAGGACCTATGAAGACCGATTTGCTCGACATTATCGCGTGCCCGGTGTGCAAGGGGCCGTTGACGCTGCACGGCGACTCCGTTGCCCCGGATGACGCCCCCGACGCGGGCGAAGTCCTCACCGGCACGCTTACCTGCTCCGAATGCAACGAGCGCTACCCCATCGCCGAGGGCATCCCCAACCTGCTTCCGCCGGACATGCGCGACGCCGAGGCAGGGGCTGGACGTTAACCTGCGGCTTCAGTCGCCTGACCCAGTTGCCGGACCTACCGCCCACCGGAGATTCGCTCGACTCTCCGCACTAATTCTCCAACCTTCCGGCTATGTCGGCCAGGTCGTCGGCCAATTCGGCAATATCTTGAGCTGCCGTTTGCACGCTCCCCGTGATGGTGTCAAAACCGTCCGATATCGCGGTGATTTCGGCGCTCACGTCTTCTGATAATGTGGTCAACCCTTCGGCTACACCCCCGAATGACGCCGTCGCCGATTCAATATTGTTCACGGCCTGCCGTAACGGACTGTACAGCATGAAGACAACTACCACCACCGCAATGCACACCGCGAGTACAGAAACAGACATCACGATAACGACGACATCTCTGATTTTCTCCAGCAAAGAGCGGTTGTTTAAGGGGCTTTCAGTCATTGCTCTCTCCACACAACGTTGATGACGTACATGGCTACGTCACCTGTTACGGTAAATTTAATGAGGGGCGGGTTCAAACCCGCCCCTGCTCTATCACGGTAATGCCGGAGTATTAACCGCCGGTGATAATGGCCACTACCTCTGATGCGAGTCCCTCGGCGCGCTCACGAAGGGATTGCCGATCCAGGTTCTCTATGGGATGCGCCGTGAAAATGGTGGGGTAATCTTCCGCTCCCCACATCCTGGCCATGGCGTTGGCAGTCGGGATGAACCGATCGGTGCAAATCGTGGCGGATGGGAGGCCAGCCTTCTCAACATGGATTCCGTCGTGCACACTGCACGCACTACAGCTTCCTCAATCGCCGATGGCCACCACCACCGAATCGACGTTGGCCACCAGCTCTTGCAATTCCTGCGGGTCGGCGGGCCGCGATGCACTGGGCTTGCGGAGCCAGCGCACCTCACGGATTTCGTAACGGTTCCGCAGCACTTCGGCCAGCTCTTCCAGCAGAACGTCGGCATTGCGCTTGCTATCGTCAATCAAACCCAATCGGGTCCCAGCCAGCGAGGGCAGACGCGGTGCGCCATCAAACGGCGCGATGATGGGCTCGGTGGTCGGATTGACCAGGGTATAGTTCTGAGTTGCCATGTTCACCCCTCTACAAATAAGAGTCATTGGTGCTGTTATATCAGGTTGACACCCGGATTGCCACGCTGCGTTGGCTGCCACAATTGCAGAGCGTCAGGGCATCCTTACGGCTTTGGTTACGGCGGTTGAGCCTACTTTCGGCCCCCAACTGGGTATCACCGACGACATGTTGGATTCCTCACCGCCGGCGAACACCACCAGAATGTCCTCCGGCTCCGGGATCAACGAGATCATCGTTGCTTCGTCGCCCGGTTCCACTTCGCCGCGCAGCACCTGCCCGCGTTTGAGATCGGCTACGGATCGCTGGATGTTGGCGTGCAGGTACGCTCGAATGTCGGCTTTGGTCCAGTTCTGCCACAACCTGCTGTTGCCGGCGAAGGTAACCACAATCTGGCCCTGCCTGATGCCAACCGACAGGTCGCCCACCGATCCAGAGGTGGACAACGAAGTGCCCAGCGACGAGGCCACGTCGGCCAGGGCGTACAGGATGGCTTCGGGCCTGCCTACGGAGCGGGTCTGACGGGGACTTTCTCCGGCGAACACCGTAACCGTACTGTCCGACGCATTGAAGCCCGGTCGACATGCAGGGGCGTCCAATGGGTTTCGCTCTCGGCCTCTGCTATGCAGTAGGTATACTTGCCCGGATGGCCGATCACGCTGCGGTCGAACAGACCCGGAATCGCGGCACAGGCATTCATCAGTATCAACCGCACCGCCCGCCCGATTGTCCCGTTGGCCCGATTCCCGGGACCGAACAGGTTGTTCCGGCTGTTGAGCCCGATCTGCTGCACTATCGGCCCGTTGACAATGCACAATACGGCCGCGCCTCCCATACTGGATGATGGGCCAACCAGGTTGAAAACCGGATCGAGCATTGCTTCGGTGGCGGTGAGGACCACGGGGAAATACTCGGGCAAACAACCCGCCATCACCGCGTTCGCCGCTGCTTTTTCTACCGTGATGATCCGGCGGCGTTCCGGCAGTTCTCCCACCACATCATCCAGGGCACGCCCGGCGTAGCCGATGAATTCTGCCACCCGTTCGGCGGTGGGCGGTATCACGGGAAGCCCGTCGGTCCAGCCAAGCTCGTAGCACCGCTCTACCGCGCCGAAAATATCATCCCAACTGGCGGCGGTTGTTTCGCTGAATGTCGTCAATTCGGTCGCCTCTATTGACACACTTCCGCTCCCGGTCAGCGATTGGGCGAACGGGAGCGGAGTATGTGGGTAATCGGTAGGTGTCGGGTTATGCGCGCGCGTACTTGGAGAAGCTGCGGAGTTCCCGCGGCGGGTCCATGTGGCTGCCCCGAATGGTGTACGACACCTCGGACACGTAGATTGCTCCGGTACCGTCGACGGCGATCCCGTGGGGAGCGATAAACTCGCCCGCCCCTTCACCCTCGTCGGGGGAACCAAATACGCAGACCCGGTTTCCGTCCCGGTCGTACACGGAAACGCGATGGCCCAGACCCGGCGCGTCATCGACGCCGCCCATGCCGTTAAGTTCGCCCACGTAGATGTGGCCGTTCCAATAAACCATGGCGTCGGGTCGGTGGATGTTGCTCCACATGGTCAGGTATTTGCCTTCCGTGTCGAACAGCTGGATGCGGTGGCACTCACGGTCAACAACGTAGACCCGCTCATCTTCATCAAACGCGATGTTGTGAGGGCGGATGAATTGACCGGCGTCTATCCCCGGTTCGCCCCAGGAGAATTTGTACCCTCCCTCTGCGGTGTACACGTGAATCCGCGAGTTGCCGTAGCCATCAGAGACGTAGATGTCGCCGTTGCTGGGGCGGATGGCCGCCGAGGTGGGCCGGTTGAACGGCTGGCCACTCCAGCGGGGGGCGGGATGGTTCTTCTCGCCGATTTCCATCAGCTTCTCGCCGGTTACGCTGAACTTCTGGATGGTATGGATTCCATCGTCAGCGATCAGCAGGGAATCGTCGGCTGCGCTGTAGTAGAGGCCGTGCGTGCGGTTATCGCTGAAATGGCCTTCCCCAAACGTCCGCAGGAAGTTGCCATCCTTGTCGAACACCATGATCGGGTGCTCGCCACGGGTCAGGATGAATACCCGGTCTTCGCCGTCAACGGCGACCCCGGGGCACTCCAGCAGCCGCATCCCGTCGGGTATCTTGAGCCAGTTGTCAACAAACGTGTACTGCAAATCGCCTTGTCCGTAGGTGTCAGGCATAGTTTCCTCCTTGTCGGTGCTTCAGGTTATAAGTGATCGTTACGGTGGTTAATCGATACAGGACTATACTACTGGGCAATGCAGCCCCCGTCGATAACCAATTCGGCTCCGGTTACGAACGATGCCTCGTCGGAGGCAAGATACAATACCCCGTAGGCCACCTCAATGGGATGGGCCCGGCGACCCAGTGGTATAAGCGCCAGCCGCTGGGCCGCCACTTCAGGATCATCGTAGGTTGCCGAACTCATGGGGGTAATTATGGGGCCCGGATGCACCGAGTTGGCCCGGATACCCTCGGCAGCATACTGAATGGCGGTCGCCTTGGTGAACAGACGTACGGCTCCCTTGGAAGCATTGTAGGGGTGCGAGCGAGACCATGCTCCCGTCATGCCGGCGATTGACGAGATATTCACGATGGACCCACCGCCGGCCCGGCGCATCGCGGGTATCGCCGTTTTGGTACCAAGGAAAACGCCCTTGGAGTTGACGTCCATCACGCGATCCCAGTCGGCTTCGCTGGTGTCTTCCAGCGCGATGTTCCCGGCTCCTCCGACGACCGAGATGCTGATGCCAGCGTTGTTCACCAGCGCATCCAGCCGTCCGTATCGCGCTTCCGCCAGCGCCACAATTGCCTGCCAGTCAGACTCACTGGTAACGTCCAGGTGAGTGTAGGTGCAGTCGTGGCCGGCGGCCCGTTGTTCCTCTTCCACCTGCCGGCCCAGGTCGTCCAGGATGTCGCCGAATACCACGTTTGCACCTTCCCGGCCAAACAGGCCCACCTCTTCTGCGCCCATACCTCGAGCGCCCCCGCTTATCAAAACTACCTTTCCATCAACTCTACCCATTTCGCTCCTATCTGCTTTGCGTGCCAGGTAGTCAGGCCGGCCCGGCGTGGTCGCTGATAATCCCGTGAAGTTGTTGAATCAACGGAGGAAGGTCGTCCTGGATGATACGCCACAAGGCATCAAAATCAACTGTGTCGTAGTCGTGGATCAGCACGTTGCGAAGGTCAGTGGTCTGACGCCAGGGTACGTTGGGGTAACGGGAACGAAAATCATCGGGAACACGCCGCTCAGCTTCACCGAGAACTTCCAGCAAACGGACCAACGAGAGATTGAGCATTCTATCGAGATCGAGATCCGCGCGCGAACGGTCTTGCGCCATCTGCACCGCCTCGGAACCATGATCGAGCATTTGGCGTACGGCCACCAGGGGTTCACGACGCGACATAGATCTCCTCGGCTTCGTCGAGCACCTCCTGGCGGAAGTAGGGACTCAGCGCCGCCGCCGTTTTCAGGTCGACTTCGCGCCCCAGCATGTCGATCAATTCGCGCCGCATATCGAAAAATGCAAATCCTGGTGTGCAACCCGGTTCAAACTCCACCAGCACATCAATGTCGCTCTGCGGAGTGAAATCGTCGCGAATGACGGAGCCGAACAATGCCAGCCTTCTAATATGGTTCCGGCGGCAGAATTCGACGATGGCGTCACCAGGAATTTCGATGCGAGCGGCCATTGTACCTTTACGAACGCATCAGCCTAACTCGCGCTGTTATCGTCCTGGAACATCCCCACCACGTTGCCCTCGGTGTCCCGGAAGTTGGCAAAGTACCCAATGCCCGGTATGGCAGTACGGGGAGTGACGATTTCAGCCCCGGCGGCGGTTACTTTGCCGATGTAAAGCGTCCAGGTTGTCCACACCCAGAATGACGAGTGTGCCGCCCCGGTTCACGGCCGCGGCCCGTTCGATCAACGCCCCGCCGATCCCGTATGGTTCGTCGTCGCCACCGGTCTGCTGCAGGTAATAATCCTCAGGCCCGCTTTCAAATTTGCTGGATTCCCAGCCGAATACGTCGGCGTAGAATTTGTTGGCGCGTGCGGCATCATCAAAAAGGCAACTCGAAGTGAACAACCTTAGGCATATTTCCTCCAATAGGTGGTGTAGCAATCAGGCAAAGGTGGCTCGCCGGACGTTTTCACGGCAACACTTTCCACTCTTCCGCCAGCATGGCGTATAACAGTGTATCCCACCATTGGTCCTTGAAGTATTGGTTTTGACGCAGGCGTCCCTCCAGTCGGAAACCCAGCCGTTCCAGCACGCGGGCAGATGCAGTGTTTTCGGCAATGCACCACGAGGAAATGCGGTGCAGACCCAATTCCAGGAACCCAAAGTCGACCATCGCCCCCGCCGCCTCGGTAGCATACCCCAGCCCCCAGCAATCGTGAGCCAATTCATAGCCGATGTCAGCTTCCCAATCATTGTCCGGTTTACGGCGTATCCCGCAATTGCCAATCAGTCGGTCATCCTGCCGGCGGGCGATAACCAGCTGGAAGCGGCGCCGAGGTTGTTCTCGTTGCTGATCCAGGAACATGGCTACGAACGCCTGCGCATCAGACGGCGTGCGATGGCTCCAGGGGTAGAACGGAGGTAACGCGGGTCCTTCTGGTAGGCCAACACATCCGGCCAGTCGTCTGATGCAAACTCCCGCAGCCGGAGGCGTTCGGTGATCACTTGCATTTTCGCGAGATTAGCCCTCGAATCAGCAATTGCTCTCCGCCTGGAATTTGCCGCCAGCCCGTATTCTATTCGTTATACCCGGTGGCGTGTTTCACCACGTCAGGAGATGGCCGACGCCCCTTCACCGGACAGGTAATCGGCAGTCCGCAGCGCCAGCGCCTGAATGGTCGTTGTCGGATTTATGCAGGCCCCGGTGGTGAATATGCTCCCGTCGATGATGAACAGGTTGGGCACGTCGTGGGCCCGACCCCACCGGTCGACCACCGACGTATCCGGGTCGGACCCCATCCGTGCGGTTCCCAGCAGGTGCCAACCGGCGTTGCGGCGCAGCCTCGACGCGACTACTCGCTTGGCTCCCGCGGCCTCCAGCGCCTCGGTTGCGCGGGCGATGCCGTGGTCAAGAATGGACCACGTATTCTCGCTCACCGTGTAATCGATCTTGGGAGCGGGGATGCCGTGGCTATCGGTCAATTGAGGGTCCAGCGTAACCCGGTTGTGTTGCTCGGGCAGGTCTTCGGTCATTACCACGATGCCCATCTGCCGGCGGATGCGTTCCGCGAAATCGCGATGGTGAGCGTCGCCCCACGCCACGGTCTCGCCAACCAGTCCGCCCAGGGCGATCTGCAGGGGAGCCCCGCCGACGTTGGAAACCTGCATGTCGTACCCTCTCACAAAACCGCGCCGCACGTCGGTTTCGTAGAATTCCTGGCTCAGCATCGACGAACCGCGAGGTCCCTCGTCGGATCCCAGATCCTCGTCAAATAGCCCCAGAACATATCCACACGGATGGTGCATCAGGTTGCGGCCCACCTGTCCGCTACTGTTGGCCAGACCATCAGGGAACAGAGCGCTGCGCGAGTTGAGCAGCAACCGCGACGTGCCTATGCCGTTGCACGCCAGCACCACCACGTTGGCGTATTGCGCCTGCAGGTCGCCGTTGCGATCGTAGTACGAAGCGCCGGTGGCTCGCCCGGATGCGTCCACCAGAATCTCGCGGACACGCGCGTGGGTGATCAGGCGGGCGCCCTGTTTCAGGGCTTGCGGCCAAAAGATTATGTCGCTTCCCGAAGGAGAACGCAGGTATTCGCCGACGTCGGGTTGCCGACCATCCCACGCAGCGGAGTGCACGGCGTTGTCCGATGACCACCAGTGCCACCCCAACTTGTTGAAAGCCTGCCCCAGCAGTTCACCACCCCGTCCGATCGGGAGGGGAGGCGTGGGTCGCACCGGTTTCGGCGGATACGCCGGGTCGCCCTGCAAGCCGCTCACGCCATGCATACGGTCATTCAGATCGTAATAGGGTTCCAGCTCAAAGTAGTCCATCGGCCAGTCATCGGCCACACCGTCCAGCGACTTCAGGCGAAAGTCAGAAGGATGGAAACGGGGGAAGTGAGAACCCCAGTGAATCGTGCTGCCACCCACCGCGTTGTACATATACGGAGCGATGGGAGTGTCATCCTCGTTGACCGGATAATCTTCGGGCAGCCCGCGGAAGTTGGGATTTGGATGGAAGTCAGTCTGCCAATGCAACTGAGCCTGGGGATCGCTCACCGGAAACGCGTTCTGTGGAACCCAACCACCCTGCTCCAGGCAAACGACCTTTACCCCCGCCTGCGTAAGGCTCCAGGTGAATGCCGCGCCGGACGCGCCGGCCCCGATTACCAAAACGTCTGCTACTGCCTGCTTGCTGCCCATGTGGATGGTCCTTTGTTCAGTGTATGAATGGGTGGAAGCTGTTGCCCCTGCACCCGTCAAGGGAAAGTGCCTATGTCGGGAACAATATTCCGATGCTCTTGAGATTTGGGGATCGCGGATTACGGTGAAAACAGCCAACCTGCCCCGCTCACGCCATCGTTCCGTCGATCCTGATCCTGTCGATCCTGATCCTGGCCATCCTGCGGAGTTGAGCCTATTTACGCTCGAAAACTGCGGCTACGCCCTGTCCCCCGCCTACGCACATGGTTTCCAGACCCCACTGCAAATCCTGCCTCTCCATCTCGTGGAGCATGGTCGCCAGAATACGCGCGCCGGTGGCGGCGATGGGATGGCCCAGTGATATGCCGGAGCCGTTGACGTTGAGGTTATCTTCGTGGGGCAGGTTCCACTCGCGGAGCACGGCGAGCACCTGGGCGGCGAAGGCTTCGTTGAGTTCAATGATGTCCATATCCCCCAGCGTCATGCCGATCTTGTTCATAACCTTGTTGACGGACGCTACCGGTCCGATACCCATGGTGGCCGGATGGCAACCGGTTACGGCCCAACCTCGCAGATAGGCCATGGGAGTCAGACCCAGCTCCTCGAGCTTATCCTCCGCCACCACCAGGCACACTGAGGCAGCATCATTCTGGCTGCTGGCGTTGCCGGCGGTAACGCAGCCATCCTGCATCACCGGACGCAGGCGTCCCAGAACGTCTATCGTGGTATCGCCGCGGGGACCCTCGTCGGTGTCGAAGATTTTGGGGTCGCCGCGTCGCTGCGGAATGCTAACCGGCACTATTTCAGCATTGAACTTGCCGGCGTCCCGGGCTGCCACCGCGCGCTGGTGACTCCGAAGCGCGAATTCATCCTGTTCCTGCCGTGGGATTTCGTACTGTTTCGCCAGATTTTCCGCCGTTTCGACCATGCCGCCGGGTATGGGTCCGAAACGCTCTTCGGGGGCGATGGTAACCCGGGCGCGGGCCAGGCGATCATGGAATGTAACCGATCCAAACCGGGCGCCCCAACGCGATTCGTTGTTGTAGAACTCGGCGCCGCTCATGCTCTCCACGCCGCCGGCTATTACCACGTCGGCGTTGTCGGTCTGCACCAGCATAGAGGCGTTGAGAATCGCTTGCAGTCCGGAGGAGCAACGCCGGTCCAGCTGGTAGCCGGGCACCTCAATTGGCAGGCCCGCCTTCAGACCGGCCAACCGCCCGATTGCGGGGTTCTCGCCGGAGGGATAACCGTGGCCGAGAATGACGTCGTCAACCAGGGCTGGGTCGATGCCGCTCCGTTCCAGAGCAGCGCTGATCACCGTGGAAGCCAGCTCGGCGGCGGTTATGTCGCGCAGGCCCCCGCCGAAGTTACCGACGGCGGTGCGGACTGGGGAAACGATGGCTACTCCTCGCATTATAGGGCTCCTTGTTCTGCGGACAACGGCAGGCAAATTCAACGTAAATTGGTGGGCGTATCATACCCGCTGCCACCCGCTATGTAAAACGAGAGCATCGTGCAAAACTGTCATTGCGAGCGAAGCGTGGCAATCTCGTCGGGTATCAAACTGTCATTCCCGCGAACGCGGGAATCCATCCTCTCCCCGTGGGAACGGGCATCGGTGAGGGCCACCCTGCTATAATCACAAACACTATATGTGGGGGTGTAGCTCAGCCGGGAGAGCACCTGC